GCATAGTTAATGGCATCTGGGCCGGCTTGTGGAAGGAATAGAGTACGATGGCATAGAGTCCTTTAGTGTGTGATGAAACACAAAGGTCAGAATGGTAGAAACATTTCATTTGCCTGAATATCAGTTCTTAAGTGGAATAACAGCTATATTGGACCAAATTAAATGTAAGCAGAGAAATAACCTGAGGGTAGGGACTTGAAACAGCTGTGAGTTTTGTGATGGTATCTTTCACCTGCTCTATTTGTGGGTCACAGGACGGTTACTGGGTTCACACCGCTTTCCTCATGTCCTGTCAAGTTCCAAGCAGGTAGTGAGCACTCAACAGATATTCACCGAGTGTTGTTTTGGGAATGAATAAAAGAAACTGAAACTTGTCACCCAGCATAACTGGGATGAATTTAGGGAGAACTGCTTTGCTATAATGCAGAGAGTTTATTTTCCAATGAAGAAAGAGAGAGAAGTGCCCAGGCTCGTACCTGGTGCAGTACATTCTCCCTTCGTGTATTTTCTGAGGATGAAATAGATCTATGGAGATCTATATCATTCTTTGGAGTAGTTAGACAGCGGCAAGGCAGTTCGCTCAAGGCACCCCATCAACAGCAGGGAGGGACTCTGGCCCCAAACGCAGCCCATTTTGAAACAAGCTTTCTGGTTTCTCCAGCAGACACCTTCAAGAACCTCTAAAGGGGAAGGATCAGAGTCCCAAGCTAGTCTGTCTAACCCACATTCCCAAAAGCATATGAGGGAAGAATTTGCAAAGAGACTCAAGGGAAAGCACAATGCGATGAGGCAATCACCTGTTTTCTTGAAAAGAGGCTTAGAAATGGTTGGAATTGAGTAGGATTCCTGCAAACACACCCAAGAGTTTGTAACCCAGCCTATTCATTTTATGTCCTTTACTACTCATGATATCCTGTTCTTCTACCCTGTTGTCTGCTATCTTTTTCTGAGGACTGAGTTTCTGAACCAGCATGGCTCACTCTTCCTGTGAGGAAGGAATCTCTGGGCCTTCTTTTGTAGGCTTTGGAGGACAATGTGTCTTATCAAGGGGTAGAGCAAACCGATTGATCTCTGCTTGAAACTATCATAGTCATCCCAAAATAGAATACGTAAAAGTTCCCTGTATTAGAAAAAGAAACAAGATACCCATTGTATATTTTCTTTTCTTTATTTATTCTCTGTAAGTCTGTCAGATGATAAGTTGTAAATAACAATGATTAAAGAAATATGCTACTGATGGATCCTTCTTTCTGTGTCAACAGCACCAGTTCTGGGCTTGGTTATCTTACAGTCTTTCTGGACACCTGATGGGGCCCTGAGACAGAGCCAGAGAAGTGTGCGGTGTGTGTGGTAGGCATGCCTGTTTGTAGGGGGATATCCGACAGAGGGTTACATACACAGGCCTCTCATGTATTGCTTGACTATCTATTGGAGGAAAAGCATCTTGGTCTCTGGCACATCCAAACATACTAGAGATTGGGATTCTGGGTTGTCACATTAGTTCTGGAGAAGCCAGTCCAGAATTAATTGCAGATGCTTTATTGTTTTTGCTACAAAGTGGTCTTGTTTGACACATAGAAATCTCTTCTAAATCCACATGTCATCTGGCTCAAGACCACACAAGCATACAAAAAGCAACAAGAACTCTGAACAGCCAGAATACAGACTTGGTCTTCGTAAAAGAAATTCAGATGAACCACCCTCTTCCCCAAAGAAAAAAATGTGTTTCTTACTTGGTCTCTGAAGAATATATTTATACTTTTATTTTTCTGAATGATTACATATTTTTTCAGCAACGGCTATGATAGATAAGAGAATAGATACAAATTCTCAGAAAATACTCAGAGGGCAAAAATAATTCACGAAGGCACACTCTGACCCTCAGAGTGTTTGGTTTGATGCTGGGGCTAACGGCCAGGGATTCAAGTATCTGTGCGATGGGAGTGGGGTTGGAGGCAAAGGAGAAAAAAGTAAACAGGAACAGCAGAGATACTCAGAGATACAACTATATTGTCAACACTGTTGTCAAGCTTTAAAGGAAGGTATGCGTGATATGTATTCGTACACCATATGGCATCTATAGGCTATGCATTTATCTGAGCATGTAATTTGTTACTGATTTATTGCCACTTAGAATGTTATGTTCATTTTGTATTTGAAAAAGAAGTATACACACTTACCTTCTGGTCCTTGAGAGGCACCCAGTAACTCCTTATGTATAAGCGACACGTATATCTCTTCCTATCGAGTGAAATGAGTAAAATCCCTCTCTCAGAGTAGGTTTGGGCCAGGCTGAAGGACTAGTGATTTGAAGAGGAGATGGATGAAAGATACCCATGAGAAGAGCTACGTGGCCCCTTGGCGGCTGTTCTTTTGCCCCTGTTTTTAAACCAGAGACAAGTCCATTCTGGAGAGGTTTCTAAAGACCCTGAATAGAGCTCTGTCCCAGGTGCTAAAGGTACCTTTGCTCATCTCTGTCTACCTAAGGACTGTTTCAGGCACCAGCAAAGGAACCAGAGATGGGTTTCTGCATTTAGAGTAGAGGCAAACTTACTTTATAAGGCAATAAATAGTCAAAGATAGGAGTGCTCCATTTACGATTCCGTTCAAGGAGCCAAGGCTTACCGGGGATAAATGGATTGTTGCGTACTGGGTTCTTCTGGTTTCCAGGAAAACAGCCCATGAACAGTATAAACTCAAGATGACTAGTTTGATTCGATGAAAGCCATACTTACTCACCTATCACTGAACTATATATTATAACCACTACTGAGGTGTCCTACATCTGATTAGATATTTTTAAAATATAAAATTTAATGCCAACTGTTTCAATCGATTTCTGTTCTCCTGGTCTCTCTGGAACCTCTAGTGGTTCACCCATCCTGGGAAGGTTACAGAAACTTGAAAGGTCCAACCTGAATAGAAAGAGGGAAGCAAAGAGCAAGGCTTCCTAATTTGGACTGGATGGATATCACACTAGTAGGAGATGGCAGCTCTGGTCATCCTGTCTTCACTTAACTCACAGTGGGTCCTATACTGGCTGGCATCCCCAAATTGTGGGGATGCTGAATCTCCAGAGCCTGGGCCCTCCCCCTTCTCTGTAGGAATGAGTTTTTCATAGGACAACCCCACAACTCTTATTCCTTCTACATGCCACTTCTGAGCCCTAGGACACCTTAAAAGGAAACTTTGGGTCTAAACTGTAAAGATTGGGGTTAATTTTATTCTAAGACTCCCAGAAAATATTGTTAAAATGTGGTCTTTTTAGAATATTTGAAAATGGCAGAAGGGTAGGAGCTGAGTTCCACCCAGATAACAATAAAGATGTTTGAATGATTTAGGAATCTAATATTCAGATAATTGGATTTATTTTTTGGATATAATTTTATTGGTATAAGATAAAGTATTACTAAACTAGTTGATATTGTTCCTGGACAGAGAACCAGTTCTGAACTCAGGTTCGGCTGCTTGCCCTTGGAAATCAACACTCGAGAGACAAGTGATGGTGGGAAAGCCAAGGTTGCTTTATTCAGGAAGCCGGCAACCTGGGAAGGCGGTGGAGTAGCTTCTCAAAGACCATCTTCCCCAATCGGGTGAAGGTGGAAAGTTTTAAAGGAGAAGGCATGGGATAAGGGGGTGGGGTGGCTGCATGGAGGAGAAGCAGGTGCCCAGGTGCTTAGTCGTATGTTGACATGACCCTGAACAGACATGCTGGTTGGTATCTGTGGCAGCTGTTTCCAAATGTAGTCAGACCTTATCTTCTGGGAAAGTTTACTTCTTCACTCCTTAAGGCCGGTGGTCTGCAAACCTCAAGGAAAGTAGGTTATTCTGTTGCAAACCAAGGGTGCAGTGCCATTACGATATCAATTAACCAAGACCTCTATGAATTCAAAAGCCAGTAGAAGTTATCAGTCTCACATTGCTCAGGGATCATCGCTGTGCATAAATAATTGAAACTTTGAAAGAGGCCAGGAAGTAGATTAAAGCATGTTCCCCAGAGTTAGGCACATGAGGTGTGGAGTTACTTAGTGTGAACCTAGACTAGTGATGGTCACCTTGTAACCAATACAAGACACATACAGAAACTTAGAGTAAGCCTCAGAAACTTTCTTAGCAGTTTGGCAGAATATTCTTTTATGTGTTGTATCTAATAATAAATATTGAGGACTTGTATTTTGTATGCTTCACTTTTTATTTCATTTTTCTAAAATGCATTGTTACTGTATTTTCCAAAAGTACCCGTCTGGGATGGCTTGGAAAAACAAAATGGGTCCTTTACCACTGAGTTGGAGGAACACTGAAGTAGGAGCTCACAGTATGCGGCTCACAATGTCCTATGAAGTTCTTAGATACTCTGATTCATACCACACTCCAAATTTTGGAAAATTGGTATTTCATGCAAGATTCTACATAAAATTTTTTAATGAAAGCAATGTTCATTTTTCCAAAGATTTTTTAAGGAGAAAGAGCAGGTCTGGAATCAGAAGGGGCACAGTTCCTGCAGCTACACTTACAAAAAGAAGCGAAAAACAAAGTAGATGATAATACCCAAACTTTAATTCCTAGACCCAAAACTTGCCGCTAAAATTAAGGCGTTCTTGTGCAACTATCCTGAGGTCTTCCTGCAACAGAGTGACAGGCTGATATCCCTTGCGTGTCACGATTCTGCTCCCAAGTCCTTCTTCGGGGGAAAACCCTCCGGGGACCCAACGGGTTCTGGAGGAGCGTGGCCGATCCTCCCGCACTCGGGCGCCGCCTAGGGACGAGAAGAGTCCGGATTGGCTCGGGCCCGGCTCCGCCCCTCGGCCTACCTCACCCCACCCCCGTCCCCGGCTCCGGCAGCGCGCCGCGTGCGGCGATTGGAGGGCTCAGCGCGGAGTCGATGACGCAAGGAGGCGGGCCCGCCGGGCTCTGATTGGACCGTGGTGGCGTAGGCGTGGCCGCGGCGGACGGCCGGATTGCTCTGCTCGGGAGGCGGTGGCGGTTCCCGGCAGCGCGGCTCGGCGGTGGGAGGGAGACCATGCGGAAAGTGGTGCTGGTCACCGGGGCCAGCAGGTGAGGCGTCTTCGGCGGCCGCGGCGGCGGGTCAGGGGTCGCGGGGAGCAGGAAGTACAGGGCCGGGCCACCGCCGGCGCCCGTCCCCGGGAGGGCGCGTCCCCGGCCTTGCCCCGCGGGGCCTCGCGCCAGCCCCGGTCCCTCTGTCCCCGGGTCCCCGCCGCGCCCGATCGGGGCGTCCGGCGGCTCGAGCCGCTCAGTAACCCGTGCTGGAATTAAACGTGACGGCGGAAAGGCAAGCTGGAGCGTCGCGGGGGTCCCGTTGGGATCTGGGACCAGGGCGCTTCCCACGCGGACCCCGCCTCCGCCGGCTGGTCCGTGTGGACCTCAGTGCCCGGCGCTTAGCGTCGCGACCACGGTGTGCTCCGGGCGCCGTATCTGTGCAGGACTTTGCGCCCCGGATAAGTTTCAACACCCATGAGCGGTGAGGCGGGTTAGGGGTGGGGGCGGAGTTGTCATTCCACCCAGAACGGGGCTAGACACCTAGACTCGCTCTTTAAAAAGTCACCCTCTACCTGGCGAGGCGTGGCAGGAGCGCAGACAGCCATTACCCCCAGTTCCTAGTTATTCCAGGGCTGCCCCTGTGGACTCTTGGCCTCTTCTGTCCCCTGCTCTGACTTCTCATCCGCACTTCTTGAAGAGTGGGGAGGATGACACCAACCAGGCCATTCTTCTGCCTGTTGCAGTGGGCGGTTTTGAGGGATGAAGGCAGAAGACATGTCAGACGTCATCTAAAGTCGTCCCCTTTCCGTGACCTAGTCACATCTGTCTTAGCCCAGCCAGTGTGGCAGGGGTATGTGAGTGCCCTCACTGGTCGACAAGGTGCTTCCTGAGCTGGACTCTTGTCAACGAGTCACAACTGTTTTTGTGTGTTTCTTTCTTTTACTTATATGGTGATGTTATGCACTTGGATATTTATTGGAAAGACCTGCTATTCTCCAGTGAGGAAGCATAAATGTAAATACATTTGGTGCTCTGTTGGCAAGGCCCAGGCTTTGGTTGCACTTAGCCCTGCCCATCTGAGTGGTGTCCTCATTTACTGTGCAGTTTCGCAAGTAGTTTATCTGTCTTTGACTTGTGCCCTCATTCTCCTGCTCTTTCCTGGGGCCCATCTTACGTTTCCTCTTCTTACCTGCTGCTTAGTCATGTGGAGTTTGTTCTCTTCCTGCGGGTTATTCGATCATAGTGGTTGAGAGGGACTTGGCTCGTGCTGTGTTACTGAAAGATCCGTCCATTCCTTATCGGGAATTTTGCAAGCTCTGGACGGTGGCAGTGATGCCAATGGGTAGTAGAGCCCTTGCCCTTGAGGGACAGAGACAGCAAAGCAAAACAGGCACCCGGGAAACGGCTAGTACGATGCTCTTCTCAGCTCTTGCTGGTGATATACTCACTCCCTTTCACGAGTGTCCTAGCCAGTAAAGAATGCAAACCGCTGGATGAAAAGTCAGCTCTCATGTGCAGCGTGCTTATTTTTGTGTTCGGGCTTTTGCAAAATGGGAGAAAAGCAAACTGGGCAGCGTCCTGAGCGAGTAACTGACTCTTCAAGTTTGGTTGGGGGGGCAGGTGTCCCTTCTTCTTTGCAATTTTTGAGTCTTTTTTCCTCTTCCGGGGCTCCTCATGGGAGCTCATGTAGACAAAGGCAGTTTTCTGAACCAGAGAGCAATGCCTCCTATGTGGCACCATCTGAACGAACGCATGTTCTGTCTCCGAATTGTCCTGGCAGTGGCGTTGGCCTCGCACTCTGCAAGCGGCTGCTGGAGGAGGATGATGAGCTGCACGTGTGTCTGGCGTGCAGGAACGTGGGCAAAGCGGAAGCTGTCCGCGGGGCGCTGCTGGCCTCTAACCCCGCCTCTGAGGTCAGCATCGTGCAGGTGGATGTCTGCAGCCTCCAGTCAGTCCTCCAGGCCGCCGGGGAGCTCAAGCAAAGGTACGCTTCTGGGTGACGGGTTTTCTCTCGCGTGATTGCATGAGACAGCAGTGAACAGAATGAGAAAGAAGAAAACCTAAAAAGACACAGGTGCGGTGTAAGGCATTATGCTGGCGAGATCCGTACAGAGTGATCCGTGGTGTCTCAGGAGCACATTTTCAGGTTCAGTCATAATCGTGATTATTTCATGAGGATGAATTTGAGTACACCTTGATGTATGGTTAGTTGTGTGGACATTATGGTAACTCCTTTCTGGATACAGTTTCTGCATCTCTCCTCCATGTAACAACTTCGTTAAGTTGGACAGGTGCCTAAGAATGTTATAGGACTTGATGTTGATTGGGTTGGCCTGAGAACCCACATCTGCACCCTATTTCTTCAGAGATTTCCACACCCACCCCCCAGGCCCATAAAGATTTGTTCACATCTGCACGGTAATTGGCATCTAATAGGCATTTGAGAAATACTTGGTATAGGAAGGAATAGAGTCCTTGGATGTACAACTCCCTGGAAAGTGTACACAGAATTGCATATAGGTGCACAATGCATTTTTTTTCTGGGGAAAGAGGGCATGCTTCATTTTTATTTTTAAATTCTAGGAGGAATTTATGACCCAAAAAGGTGGGGAGCCCCATACTAGTCCATATTCAGCCTTAAAGATATGCAGAATAATTGATTTTCAAACTTTTCTTTTGAAAGATTTTGTTTATTTATTTGAGAGAGAGAGAGAGAATGAGAGAGCGAGCATGAGGGGGAGAGGGTTAGAGGGAGAAGCAGACTCCCTGCAGAGCAGGCAACCCAGTGTGGGACTCAGTCCTGGGACTCCAGGATCATGACCTGAGCCGAAGGCAGTCGCCCAACCAATTGAGCCACCCAGGTGCCCCTTCAAACATTTTTGTCATTGAGGTCCTTAAGAAACGAGAGCTGCTTTATTTCCTTGGACAGTAAAACAAAGTACAGTAGAAACACAGAAGGCCTTTTTGGTAAAGGCATTTGCTGAAGAATACAGCTCTGTGTTTTATGTTTGGGGGTTGCTAGCCCATTCGCATTTCCCTGTTGCAAATGCACAAGTTACAGAGTGAAGGTAAAGCTGGTTTTCTTCATCCCGCTCTTCTAGTTTTGGCCTTAACCTCTTGTGAAATGTCCTTTCACCTAGAATTTTTTGCCACAGCATCTTTCTGAAAAACTGAAGAGGTTTTCTGGTTCCATATGCCCTGCTCTTCCATAACCTTGAGTTTCCAAGTCTATGAAGCCGCACAAGAAATGTCCTTACAGAGTTAAAAACCCTGGAGTCAGTACAGCAGTTTTGAGCTCAAATCAGGCTTCGGGCATTCCTTTCCCCGAACCTTCTCAACCAGTTCTTTCTGTTTTGTATGGATTTAACTATATTTCCTCATTTAGCAGAAAAGAACCTTTCATCCTTAGTCAAGATAGCTCATTCCAGGCCTACAGACACATGAAAAAATGCTCCATGTCACTCGGCATCAGGGAGATACAAATCAAAATCTCAGTGAGATCCCACCTCACACTGTCAGAATGGCTAACATCAACAGTCAGGAGAAGACGAGTGTTGACGAGGATGCGGAGAAAAAAAATTCCCACCGTTGATGGGAATGCAAGTTGGTGCAGCCACTCTGGAAAACAGTACAGAGGTTCCTCAAAAAGTTGACAGTACGACCCAGGATAGCACTACTGGGTATTTACCCCAAAGATACCAATGCAGTGATCCGAAGGGGCACGTGCACCCCAGTTATCATCATGCACTGAAATAAAGTTCTCAGACAACGATCTGAGGGGGTGTGCAGGACTGCCTCTGGGAGAGAGAGCAGCAGCTGGCTTCTGCACTTGGCTTTTGTTCTGTTTTTTATTAGAACAGCAAGGACAGATGTGGCACCATCTGAACGAATGCATGTTCTGTCTCCGAAGTGTGGGAAAGGGGTATAAAGGAACAGCGGTTATCCTGAAGACGTAAAGTAGGCCTGCACCTTTCCCTACATGTAGGCACACAGGGAGGCAGGCATGGGGAAAGGGGGAGCAGGATGTTTGCGCTAGCTGTCTCCTGAGGCAGGAAGGGGGATTGAGGTTAACGTTCTTCCATAGCTCGTAACCTGTGCCCTGCCCCAGGAGATCATGGGATCCCGGTCATACCGGGCTGTTGAGTTCAGTAGCCCAAGACCAGGAATGCCTCTGATGCTTCAGCTGCTTCCACAGTCACCCCTGAGGGCTGACAATACGTTTTCTAAGAATAATTCCACACCAACGTTTATAGCAGCAATGTCTGCAATAGCCGAACTCTGGAAAGAGCCCAGGTGTCCTCTGACAGATGAATCAATAAAGAGGATGTGTGTGTATATATATATATCTACACACACACACACACACACACACACACACACACACACACATACACACACACAGGAATACTACTCAGCCATCAAAAAGAATGAAATCTTGCCATCTGCAATGATGTGGATGAAGCCAGAGGGTATTATGTGAGCAAAGTAAATCAGAGAAAGACAAATACCATATGATCTTACTCATATGCGGAATTTAAGAAACAAAATAGTATCATAGGGGAAGGGAGGAAAACACAAAACAAGATGAAATCGGAGAGGGAGGCAAACTGTAAGAGACTCAGTCATAGGGAACAATCTGGGGTTGCTGGAGGGATGGAGGGATGGGGTAACTGGGTGATGGACATTAAGGAGGGCACGGGTTGGAACACGGGGTGTTATATAAGACTGAGGAATCACTGACTTCTACTTCTGCAACTAAGAATACACTATATGTTAATTAATTAAATTAAAAAAAAAAAAAAGAATAGCCCTTTCCAGTACAATGACTTTCAAGATTTTTGGTTGTAACATTCATAGTTATAACTATTCTCAGTTGCCTTCAAAGTTCCAAGATATTTGTCATCACAAACTTAGTAACTTTGTATTTAGTATATTAGGTCACTTAGCAGGGACTTGAGGCAGCAGGGCTGTGACGTGGGAGGGCGCACAGAGGTGCAGTGCACCTGCCGGAAGGAGCCTTGATCTGGAAAGATTTAACTTCAAAACCCATTGCAGTTCCCCAAATTCTGTTTGAAGCTACTGTCAAGGAAAGAATACTCAAATATTTACTGTGGCTGGAGAAACAGCATTGAGAAAGAAGTGGTGTGACCCTCATGTGTCATGGGTCCCCTCTGGAAAGCATCTTCTTCCTTCATGGGTTTTCTTTGTTTCAGTTGCTCTAGAGAAGATGAACAATCTTGTCTTGGTGTTTTCCTTGCAGGTTTCAGAGATTAGACTATGTCTATCTGAATGCTGGGATCATGCCCAACCCACAGCTAAACATCAAAGCACTTTTCTCTGGCCTGTTTTCAAGGTAATGTCCATTTTCTAGATGAACCGAATGGGAGAAATCAGTGGTCTTTCCCTCGGTAGGTGAGGTGAGGGGACTAAGGGGCGGTGGAGAAGATAAAGACAGGATGTGTTGCATCCGTGTTTTGTGGGGGGTGCCGCAGGTCCTGGATCTCAGGTTGTTCTAGGTTTCCGGGACATCCCAAGTGGCCAGATGCCTTGGAAGGTCCATGTGTGGTCCACCGGGATGTGACCAGTAGCAGGAACATTTCAGAGCTGGGCAGAGTTGTCAGTGAGATTGTTGGAGCAATCGGCACGCCCAGCTCTGCGGCAGGGGCGCTGGCCCACAGGTGGGGACAGTGCGCAGAACTGAAGGTCTCCCCCGGGAGATTCTCAAGTAACACAGTAACACACTAACACCGTGTTCTCACACAGTACTGTATTCTCACACAGTAACACAGGGGCTGCCAAGAATGTTTGCCCACAACCTACAGTGAGAAATAAATCTTATCTTCAACTTAGTATACATAGATATTTGCTCTCTTCCTACGGTGCTACTTTTGTTTTGCTTTTCTTCCATTACACACCCACACCCACACAAACACACACCCAGATCTTGACCGACTCAATGGATCTCACAACAAATCACAAGTTAATGTGATGTGTTCGGTGCTTTAAGAATTCCCAGTAAAAAAAAAACCAACCTGTGTGACCTGGGCAGTTAACCATCCGTTTGCACAGAGGAAGGCTTTTTCTCCCTGGTGTGGCTGTTACTTCCCCAGAGCAGTTCACCTGCAACCTGATGCCGAAAAAAGGTGAAATGAGTTTTAGCAACAGGTTTTTTTGAGTCAGGGCCCAGTGGGTGCTGTGAGTTATAATGTAAACATTTCCCTGAATTGGGGGAAAGGAAGCGTTTTTGCATCTTATTTATATCCGCACATGAACACAGTCTGAGAAATGGGTGTTTTTGTAGGAGCAAGGAAAATGCATTTTCGGGGCAGGGCATGGCAACAGGGAGTGTTTTCCAGTATCTTCAGTTAAAGACGCTTTTAAAAGGCATACAACTGTCTTCTCCTGTTTCAGAAAAGTGATTCATATATTCTCCACAGCTGAAGGACTGCTGACCCAGGAGGACAGAGTCACTGCCGACGGGCTCCAGGAGGTGTTCGAAACCAACGTCTTTGGCCACTTTATTCTGGTAAAAACACTTCGGGCTCAAGAAGCTCTCGTTAGTGCTGTAATCCTAAAAGCTTGCATGGACACGTCCCAGGCCTGTTTGTTAAGCCCATAGATCATGGCTGGCATGAAATCCTGGAGTACTGAAATAGGGGCATCACTGCACTCTATGAAAACATGGCTTCCCTAAAGCTTTCGATTGACATATCATCTTTCTTTTGACATCAGCTCTAGAGAGCGGAGACAAAGTGAGAAGGAAACACACAGGGGCCTTCAGAAACAATGTACAGAAGTGAGGATGTGTGCCGGTCCTGGCCGGAACGGTCTTTGAAACTGGGCTTGGTGCCAGATAGGATGGGGTGGGCAGGCCTCTATTAAGCAAGAATCCACAATTGGTCTCTTACTGTCTTGATCTCCAATTCTTCGGCATCTGTACCGTGTGTTATAGTTCCAGGCACACGTGTAAATGTGAGTGAGAGATGTGACGCTTGTTCTCGCTTGTTCTGCGCTCTTGCTTCGGGCGTAATCCCCGAGGACAGCTCTACTGTCTAGAGGAAGTAGTGCCTGACCGTGTTGCTGGTGGCCTGTCATTCCCTGGTGTTGGAGGAACTCCGAGGCTGGGTGTTTCTGGTGCCTGTCTCTTCACGCCCACTCTTCTTCACCTTCAGCCTCATTCCCCTTGGCGCTGGAACTCTTCGAGCTCTCGCCTGTATTTACGGTAAATGAAGATGTAGGCAAATGTTGGGATATTATGGACCCACTAAAAGAAGTGAGATAAATGTTTTGCACTTACATGGGACAGCCTCTCGTATTTTATTATGAAGAAGGAATAGCAGAGTGCTGTATGTGTAGCGTGATCTCATTTGCGGAAACAGAAGATCTGTCTTTACGTAGTGTGTATAAATGTACATAATATTTCTAGAATGTTACAGATGAAATGAGGAGCAGTGGTTGACTTGATGAAGTGGGGTTCCAGGATATCAAGGATGAGGGGGAGCTTTGCGTGTCATTCTACAACCATTAGTGCTATTTATTTAGTGCAACATGGTGTCACTTTTTCAATGACAAAAGTTAATTAAAAATGTAGAGTTAAAATGGGATTGAATTCTTGTCTGGTCTTTATACCTTTACACAGATCCATTATCTAATATTTCCTCTATCTTTTTATAATACTAGTTCTTTGCCTTCTTTTTGAATTATTAGTTGTTAATGCTAGAAGATAATTCCTACTAGTCTATTAATTTTGTGACAATCTAGTGTTTAAAAATTAAGTTGTTCGGAAGATCAGGTATTTGAGTCATCTAGGTTGGGGGAATGGCAGAGGAGAGCCATGGCCATGGGCATAAGGATCACAGGTGTCCTGAAGACATGGCCTATCCTTGTGTATCCTTGTAGAAGGAGGCATTTCAGCAGGGGTTTTGGAATGGATTTATCAAGTAAAATCATCAGAAGGCTTAGAATGCTTCCCACTGTCTTCATATTAGGTTTAAGAATCTTACCACTTCCTATGGAACACAAACTTAGATTCTAGGTTCAGGTATAAATGCGTTGGATAAACAGATCATCCCTCCCCAGTTTGGTTATGTGTAACATGACCGAACTTTGAGGGCTGTTATAAAGAGTAGAGGTGGTTTTGTGATGTTCCAAGCGCAGTGTAGTGTTATAGTCCAGGAACCAGGTAACTGCTTTAATCTCATGTGTATCAGTTATATCTTGGTTGTATTTGACTGACTTGTTCATTGCAAATGTGGAGCACCTCTGGGAACTTTCCTGGATTTTTCTTTAATACAGTTTTTGTTTTAGCATAGCTTTAGATTTACAGAATTTTGGCAAAGCTAGTACAGAGAGTTCTTTGTTCCCTCCCACCCCCAGTTCTCTCTACCACACTATTTATGATAGTCGGAGAACCAATACTGATACTTATTATTAATGGAAGTCCAAACTTTATTCAGCTTTCTTCCGTTCTGCCTGATGTCCCCTTGTCGGTTCTACGACCCCTCCTGGGATACCGCAGTACACACAGTGGTTATCTCCTCAGGCTGCCCTTGGCTGGGATGGTTTCTCAGACTTCCCTTGTTTCTCATGATCTTGATGGTTTAGAGGATTCTGGCTGAGCTATTTGTCCTCAGTTGGGATTTGTCCAAAGTGCTTCTCAGGGTTAGACTTGAGTGTCCTGTTTGCAGAAGGAGGACCACAGAGGTGACGTACCATTCTAGTCACATCACATTCCAGGTGTGAGCTGTCACTGTGACGTTCTCTTTGATCACCTGGCTTGAGGTAGTGTTTGTCAGGTTTTTCATCATAGTCTCTCTTTTTGTTTTTCTCTCCGTTTCCATATTGTACTCTTTGGAAGAGACGGACTATGTGTAGCTCTCCCTGAAGGGGTTGTGTTTGATGCCCCGAAGGGTCGATTAGCTGCATAAATTGTTTAGAACTTTCCTGCAAGAGAGATTTGTCTGTTCTCCATCTATGGCTTTACCCCACCATTTCTTGGTCAAGTATACCTCAATAAAGCTGCAAAAATCACTTATTTTATTCCTGTGGGCTTGTGGATGTGTATTTTCTACTTTGAGATGGAAATACTACTTTATTTTCTTGCCCAGATTATTTCAGTTTGCCACTGGGGGCTCTTTGCGATGGATCCTGCGTATCTCTGTTGAGAGCCTCATTGGTGTGCTTTTCTGTTTTGAGCGTATCCTTTCTGGCACTAGAAGATGGTTCAAGGTCATTGGATATATTCCTGCCCCAGTCATAGACTCAGCCATCTCCCTAAGGAGAGCTGGTTCTGCTTTTTTTTTTTTTTCCTTTAAGATCTATTTATTTTAGGGAGAGAGAGAGCTTGAACAGGGGGAGGAAAAGAGGGAGAGAATCCTCAAGCAGACTCCCTGCCGAGTGTGGAACCTGATGTGGGGCTCCATCCCAGGACCCTAAGATCACAATCTGAGCCTAAATCAAGGGTCAGACACTTAACTGGCTGAGCCACGCAGGCTCCCCAAGATCTGGCTCCTCTTACTAGACAATGATGTTAGAAACCAAGATCTGGTGTTTGTTGCTGCTGCTGGAGCAGTGGCTTCCAGGCTGACAGAGCAGGGAGATACACGTGCACGGTAACCCACGGGCACCTGAGTACCTGTATGTATTTTTATATGTGACCGTCTGTATCTTCATGAAGCTAAACGTCCGTTCATACCGGTCTCTAACTGGACTCTGCGGGGGTTGCTGTAGCCTCCCCTGTCGTGTGTCTGGAGTAGCCCCTCCAGCAATGACACTCCCGGTCACAGTGGTGTCCCAGCTGTCCTCCTGTGCTCCTCCAGTAGACCTTGATCCATTTGGTGGTTCCTTTTTTATCTCAGATTCGGGAACTGGAACCACTCCTCTGTCACAGTGACCATCTTTCCCGGCTCATCTGGACGTCATCTCGCAATGCAAGGAGATCTAATTTCCACCTTGAGGACATCCAGCACCGCCGAGGCCAGGAGCCCTACAGCTCCTCCAAGTACGCCATTGACCTGTTGAGTGTGGCGCTGAACCGGAACTTCAACCCGCGGGTGAGGCCCGGCTGGGTGAGGCGGGGGCAGCCGGGCGGTGGTTTTCCAAGTACGGCTGACTTCCTATAACAGGGCTGGCGTTCTATGAAGTGTTGTCCTTTAGAAGATGTGGTGTCGTTTCTTGAGCAGAATTTCTTCTTGCTGTGTGGACAAGAGAAGACGTACAATCACAGTTGGTGTGCATAAAAGTTTTGGGGCAGAGATAATTAGCTCCTGACCTTTTAGGTACATGGGGGTTCCTTCACCATTCTGTATCTCTTCAAGAGCTATAATTTATGGACAGAACAACACCACTGACAAAGCCAATACTTAATGTTAAGCACGTACTATGTCTGAGGGGCTGTACCCCTTACGTGTGTGTCACTCAGTGCCTTTCCTGTCACGGTGAGTATAGGTCTGAGTATTCCCATTTTCATGTGGAGACACCACACTTTGGAGAGGTTAGGTGGCTTACCCAGAGGTCACACAACTAGTGAATGGTGAGTTGAGCCCGCGGCTGTCTGACCGTGGCTTGGAATTTTCCCCCTAAACCGTGCTGTTTCCCAGTGTTCGTCACAGACCGTCAGTAGTTACAAAGCCCTCTGGATAGTGGCGATCTTTGGTGAGATGCAGAGCTCTCTCTGAGGACTCCGGATGTCGGGGGTCTGTCTTTGGAGAAGGCATCCCTTGCCGGTCATGCCGGCTCCCTGTGGCCTCTGGTCTGGAGCCTGCTGTTCTCTGGATGTCTCTCTTGCTCAGGTCTGAGACCTTCACTGAAAATTCCAGTCTTTCCCACCGCATTTTCCTTTGTTGCTTTAACTCTGCTTTGAGTGTAGGACTGGAGAAATTTAATTCCACTAATATTTACCAAAGAGCTACCATGTTTAGGGCACTGGGCCAGGCTTAGGACTGAGGAGAAAGGAGAAAGAAAAAGATGACCAAGAAGCTGTCTGCCCTTGCGGGACCTTCTCTGGTAATACGTCAGACACAGAGCCTCCTGTGATGGTCCTGACTGGGTTTATCCTGGAATGGACGTCTTACCAGATAGAACTCTCTCTCCTGGAACCCTGTCTCTTAGGGGAGAGGATGGCCGAAGAACAGAAGCTGAGAGCGTCTCCTAGAACTGGATTTGAATCCTTGGACAGATTATTTCATCTCCCAATGCCTCAGTTTCCTCATCTGAAAAATAGGGATAAAAATAGTGCCTGCTTCACAGATTTGTTGGGAGGGTTGAAGAGGGGGATGGCGTGAAGCACTCACAGTAGCTCGCGGTCTCAGAATGTGTGTGTGTGTGTGTGTGTGCGTGCGTGCACGCACGCATGTGCATATGTGAGTGAATGAGTGGGGGGAGTGGACATGGGCACATGTTGGGTTGTGGGTGTGTGCATGTGCGTGTGCTGTGGGTGTACATGTGGTATGTGCATGTGTGTGGGTGTCTTGTGTGGATGGAAGGTGTGTGGTCTGTGCTGTGCCTGTGTGTGTTTAAGTTGGCTGTCTTTGTTGTTATGTTTATTATTACTATTATTGTTATTATTTGAATTCAGTGTGTTGGTCCAGTGGTCAGCCTCCTTCTGAGGTTTCTTGAGATGTTTCAAAAGTTGTCACAACTGCTTGTTCTCTGGAAGCTTCCTTTTGGGGACACGGTCAGAGTGGATTAGCATCTCTTCTCATAAAATGCTTTGGGATTTCACTTAAGTTTTTAATTGTCAGAAGCTTTGGGATTTCATCTTTTACAAGAAAGAGAGATTTAGCTAATACTGCTGCTTCCTAAAATCTGTATGATTGGTTTTCAGCCCATGGCTTTTTCTCCTCGACTTTTAGGAAGAGAGAACCACATCCTCTTGAAGGCTTGTGTCTCTGGAAATGCTGCCGGTGCATTCGGGCCACTTGCTAGAGTTTAATCAGCACCCCTCGTCCACGTCTCATAGCAGCTCTCAGGTTGCCTGTCACAGCTGAGCCTTGTGACGTATGGGGGGACCGGGTTCTCAGATGAGGCTGCCTCCTTGTTTATTTCTCGTGTCGCTCAACATCAGAACGTCACAGGTGTCAGAGACCCTGGATTTCAGGTCACGGATGTCTTCCCTTAGGACTGAAGAGTCCCTAACTTCCTAGCTGGCCCCCAGAATAAGCAAGCCCCCGTAGCTGTCACTGGGGGAAAATGTGCTACTCTCTTGGGGAGAAGTTTTGGTCTCTGATGAGTCCAGGCTCTTAACTCTTTTCAGGGGACCTTTGGTAAATCAAGGGGACCCCCTGGGATTGGGTAATCTGTCAGGTCTACATCGCCTCTGCAGCGCCAGATAAAGGAAGAGAAATGCTCCAGCTTCCGCTCAGGGTGCTCTCTGCCCACTGAACTGTCATGCTGCACTGGTGCACGGTGAAAAAGAAAATTGAAAGTAATAAAAAGCAGAGTTAAAATGGTCAGTGGCTACATAAGGTAAAACGTAGTAAAAACTGAATTAAGTCAACTAGTAGAACCAATCCCCATGCTCCCAGGTTGACTAAAGCCCACCCAGGCCCCTCCCGGCAGTGCAGGCTCTGTGTTAACTGGGCTCTCTTCCGAGGGCAGATCTTTCTACATTGGCAGGTCCGGGCCAAGGCCCTGATGCAGAACTTGCAGGTGTGGGGGAGGGGCTTCGTGGAACCACACGCAGCCCTTCATTCACCTCTCCTGACAGGAGTGTGAGGTTTCTGTACCTGCAGGGGAGCAGACACAAGCTTTAGGTTTAGCTGTCTGTTCTCTACCAGACCAGAAACTTCTGGAAGGCAGAGACTGTATCATAGATGTCTTTTTTTATCTGAAGTGTTTATCATGATCGATAAGCTGATCTTCAATTAAGCCAATCCCCGGCAAACTCCAGTAACCAAATGTGCCTTTTCTCCTCCAGCTTGAAGCTGGGTTGCTCTTTATTCTGTGAGTTTCTGGAGAGCAGAGACCTCGTCTTACTCATCGCTGCATCCTGTGCGCCCTCCTCCCGAGTCCTCCAGACATGAATCCTTCTCTGAAATGGTTTGCCCAGAGTGCCCCAGCTTCCCGGCTCATTTGCAGATCTCCCTTACTCGTAAGCCCCTGGATGGGCTGCGTCCGTATTCGCTGAATCTGAATTTTACTCCGCTCCTCCCTGTGCTGCCAGGGTCTGTATTCCAGCGTGGTGTGCCCAGGAACAATGGTGACCAATTTGACCTGTGGAATTCTCCCTCCCTTTTTGTGGACTCTGCTGCTGCCCATCATATGGCTGGTAAGTGATGACACTTGTTTACTTCAGCTCTTTGACTGGGGACCAAACAGATGGGCTTAAGGGTTGGGAAATGACTTAAGAATTAGTTGAACCATCTATACTATGGAGTGTGATGCCTCCATCAGAAAGGATGAACACCCAACTTTTATATCAGCATGGATGGGACTGGAGGAGATTACGCTGAGTGAAGTAAGTCAAGCAGAGAGAGTCAATTATCATATGGTTTCGCTTACTTGTGGAGCATAAGGAATAACACGGAGGACATGGGGAGATGGAGAGGAGAAGGGAGTTGGGGGGAACTGGAGGGGGAGACGAACCATGAGGGACTGTGGACTCCGAGAAACAAACTGAGGGTTTTGAAAGGGAGGGGGGTGAGAGGTTGGGTGAGCCTGGTGATGGGTATTAAGGAGGACACGAATTGCATGGAGCACTGGGTATGGTGCATAAACAATGAATTCGGAAACACTGAATAGAAATTAAAAAAAAAAAGAAATTTTAAAAAATTAATTAATTAATTTTTTAAAAAAAGAATTAGTTGAACCAGAAGGTGGCAGAGTTTCATTTCATTTGAGGTTTTTGACGATCCTCAATGTGTAAGCTCTGCTTCAAACAACCTCTGTCCTCGCTGCCTCACCGTCCGAGTGTCTGCTTCTCTGCAGGGGCCCGTGTCTCTGATTACGCCCTAAGCTCCCGAGAGTTCTAGGATGACATCACTCTGAGAAACCCGTGTTAAGTGATATTAAACTGGATTTCTCCGAGCTCTCAATGTGGTCAGATGCGTTAAAAGTCCCCAGGAAGGGAATGGTTGTGCATTGTGTGGCCACGGAACTGTGTTCTTGCGTGTTTGTTTTCATTTCTTGGAGGACCAGCACCCCTTTGCACACCTTAGGAAATGCTGCTTGTAAGAAATGTTTCTCTCTTGCCCTGGGGAGCCCTGGGGGAAAAAAAATGCCCCTTCATTATGACAAGTGTAAGAAAAAGAGGAGAAGGAATTATGCCTCCACGTTAAAAAGTGGTTGGCTCAGAGTGGTGAAAATTAAGTGATACTTCTTTTTTAGAATTTTTTCTCCACTTTCAGTACTTAGAAAATGTCCTGTGATGAGAAATGCAGGTAATCTTTTTTAATATATAAACGAATAATGCTTCTGTTCTACCCCGCCACAGAATGACACTTCTTTTCTTTTCCTCAGATTCGATTTTTTGCAAATGCTTTCACTCTGACGCCGAACAACGGAACGGAAGCCCTGGTACGTTGGCTAAGTTGCAGTCGCTTGTACGGTTGCTTAGCGGATGTGAACGGAAGTTCACTGGGAGTGGAAGCCGTCTCAACAGAAGAGATCAGCTCTGTAATAATCATCAAGGTCCTGTTCTGGACTACAGGGGACCAGGAGCCCGAGGACAGAGTATGAGGAGTGAAATTTAAAAGTAGTATTTACCATAGTGCTGGATACCGTGTGGTGTGGACAGCATTTCTGCCGAAGCTAGATGCACATCAGCTAGGGGCAGAGCCCCTACTGCAGGGAAAGCAAGATGGTAGCCAGGCCAGCGGTTCCCATGGAGAAGGTGCGTCTTGCAGGCCAAGAGGACAGGTGACACAGTCTAACTCCATTTCCTTATATGAAGATTCTCTTTCCTCTGTTTATATATTAGAGAATCAAGCTATTACTTTATTAGAAAGGCAGTGCATGTTCTTAAATCCCACGTGGCAAACGGATTACATGGGTTTCCTCATCAGTGGCAGACATTACTAATTACGCAAACGATGTCTCTGATGATTCGTCAACCCAGGGCCCCAAAGGCACCTTGCGCTCATGGATCAGAATTGTCACACCAGATGAAGCTTATTTGTCCTGTGTCACTCTAGTGCTTATACTGAGCAGGCTCTTAAATCTTGGCTGAATTGAAATTAACCAAGGAAAACATTGAGGGAATCGGTTGGCACTCTTATTTTGGTAAACGTTGCAGAAATAAATGCGTTTGTCATAGGAACACAAATGGATTGTCAAAGCAAGTGCTTTTAAACCAGTTTTAATTAGTCCTTCATGTATTTGCCAAAGCATTAGAAATAGCACGTGGTCCTTCAGAGATTATGGACTCAAACATCTCAGATACTGAAAACCAGGTGTGGAGGTCAAGTATGTATTGAGTACTGGTGGTGTGACAAGGAGTTAGAAGACAAAATCTCCAGTTACTAAGGAGCTTAGGGTCATGTTTTGGGGGGGAGGAATGTAGAAGATAGGCAAGAAAATAAGTCATTCTGTCATCGGGTGGTGAGTAGTTGGAGTGATCCGAAAGGAAGACCACTGGAAGCCGAGCTGGTGGGAGCAGGCTTTGCTCACTAAGTAGGGCTTGATCTGGGCTCTCAAGGATGAACTGGATCTGGATGGGACAGCATGACCCATGTCACAGTTTAAAAAATTTGTGACCCTCCTGTAAGTTCCTAAAATGTGGATGAATGCCTCCGACTGCCGCTTAGTAATGGTTGTAGACGCTGGTAGATAAGGACCCATGAGGGTTTGGGCCTAGCGCACGTGTGTAGGATGCCTCTGCAGCCCTGGTCCTCAGGCTCCTTCCGTGGACTGGCTGGAGTGGCCGAAGGCACCATGGTTCAGCATGTGGGCTCTGGAGCTGGACTGGTTCTTTTCAAATCCCACTTCTCCAGCTTCTGGCTATGAAGTACTGGGGCGCATTTTTTCACTCACTTAAGCCTGTTATTATCTGTAAAACAGGAATTATGGGAAAGCATTAGAGGAGGCTTACCGTAAAGGATTTTGTGTATTTCAGCACTTAAGATTTTAAAGAAAACTATGTAAATGAAAGCAGTATAGTGCTGGCATGTGACTCGACAGATGAGTGGAACAGAAGAGAAAGTTCAGGACAGGCCCACAGCACACAGGGGTCTGGTATATGATAGTGATGGCATTCCGGATTAGTGGGGGAGAGGGCTACTCAGCAAATGTTGCTGAAAAAAAGAAGAGGATCTTTTCTTTAGACCACACACCCAAATAAAATTCTAGATAAATTAAAAGATTTACACATAAAAGTTAAAATACACAATGACTAGAAGGAAACATGGGGACATGTTTAAATAGTTTAAGAATGTGGGTGCTTAGCTACTCCCAGGACTGCAAGAAAAAATACTGAATATATTTTTTTAAGATTTTATTTATTTATTTATTTTTAAAGATTTTATTTATTTATTTGACACGGGGAGAGAGATCACAAGTAGGCGGAGAGGCAGGCAGAGAGAGAGGAGGAAGCAGGCTCCCCACTGACTAGAGAGCCTGATGTGGGTCTTGATCCCAGGACCCTGAGATCATGACCTGAGCCAAAGGCAGAGGCTTTAACCCACTGAGCCACCCAGGTGCCCCTTTAAGATTTTATTTATTAGAGAGAGAGAGCACGCATAAGCAGGGTAAGGGGGTAGACAGAGGGGGAGGGAGAAGCAGTTTCCCCACTGAGTAGGGAGCCCTAGGTTAGGACTCTGTCCCAGGACCCTGAGATCATGACTTGAGCCAAAGGCAGACTCAACTGACTGAGTCACCTGTGTGGCCCTGAACATTTTGATTACATGAAAATAATCAAATTTTGCATGACCAGAATCCTCACTATATAAATACACTCCAAAGACTAACCACGATGTGGAAGAAGAGTAGCTGCCGCTCATAGCCTAGGAAAGGGTTCGTTTTCATACTAGTTAAGGAGCTTCAGCAAATCGAGAGAAACAGCCTTTTGGAACAGTGGGCAAAGTGTATGAATAGAGAGTCTTTATTTTTTTTTTTAAAGATTTTATTTATTTATTTGAGAGAGAGACAGTGAGAGGAAGCATGAGCAAGGAGAAGGTCAGAGGGAGAAGCAGACTCCCCATGGAGCTGGGAGCCAGATGCGGGACTCGATCCCGGGACTCCGGGATCATGACCTGAGCCGAAGGCAGTCGTCCAACCAACTGAGCCACCCAGGCGTCCCGAATAGAGAGTCTTTAAACTCTTAAACACGTGAAAAGGCACTCAACCTCACTCATGCTAAGAGACATGGAAATCAAAATTGTGATGAAAGACTGTTTTTCACCTCTGTTCAGCAGAGATGAGGAGGTTTGGCACACACGGTTGTGGCAGGGCCGTCGGGAGCGAGCATTCTCCTGCGCTGCCTCGGGGAGGGTGGACTGATGTAGCCCGTGTCTGGGACCGTTTAGCAAGGTCATTCAAGAGGACACGCACCCAGCCCCTTGACCCAGCAATTCCATCTTTGGTGTTTGTCTTATAGATGTAGTCAGATTCACACGAGGTGACTGATGCATGCATCGTTTACTGCAGTGTGGTTTGTAAAAGCAAAGACTGGAAACAACGTGTATGTCCGTCATTGGAAATTGATTGCATAAATGATGATCCATCCACGAGATGCGGTACTGGGCTTTCTTTAGCAATGAGTGAAAAAGCCTCTATTTGCTGATTCGAACCTATCTTGAAAGTCGTCTTGTTCAAGAGAAAAATGCAAAGTATGCAATAATGTGTATATTTTGCTGCCATTTGAGTAGGAGAAGAGGACATACGTGGTTTTTTGTTTGTTTGTTTTTTTAAATATTTTATTTATTTATTTGACAGAGATCACAAGTAGGCAGAGAGGCAGACAGAGAGAGAGAGAGAGAGAGAAGCAGGCTCTTGGCTGAGCAGAGAGCCCAATGCGGGACTCGATCCCAGGACCCTGAGATCACAACCCAAGCCGAAGGCAGCGGCTTAACCCACTGAGCCACCCAGGCGCCCCTGTTTGTTTGTTTTTAATAAAGATTTTATTTATTTATTTGACAGACAGAGATCACAATTAGGCAGAGAGGCAGGCAGAGAGAGAGGGAGGGAAGCAGGCTCCCTGCTGAGCAGAGAGCTCGACACGGGGCTCGATCCCAGGACCCTGGGATCATGACCTGAGCCAAAGGCAGAGGCTTTAACCCACTGAGCCACCCAGGCGCCCCGAGAACATACGTGTTTTTAAAGACACAGATTTTCTTCGGAAGAATGTGTAAGATACCAGCAAGAGTGCTTGCTTCCGGAGAGGACTGGTGGGTGGCTGGAACATCGGGATGGCAGGGAGACTCGCCTTTTACCACGTACATCCTCTGAACAGGGCGTGTTCAAGCTTATCTATTAAGAAAATGAAACATTACGGCCGAGCAGCAGCTCTGAAAAAGCTAGTCAGTGCTGTGCACTCTGATTTGGGGATTAAGGGAAGAGACAGCTTAAACATGAGGGTTTTTCTGTTTTAAATAAGTGTACAAAGGATACTACAAAGCAGGTTACCCTGGTGGTTCGCGAAGACGTCAGCGATAGCTGGTGCTGGTCAGGAGAATGTTTAGGGCTCGGTAAGGCGCTGGTCAGCGATCCCCGCCAGCCTCACTCACCTGGGGCCGAAGAAGAAGAAAATCACTGACGTCCTCTTCCTTCCCAGGTATGGCTTTTCCACCAAAAGCCGGAGTCTCTCAACCCTCTGACCAAGTACCTGAGCGCCACCACTGGCTTTGGAAGCAATTACGTAATGACCCAGAAGGTAAGCGTGTTTGCACGGTTGCGTGGTGGCGTGTTTGCACGGTCGCGTGGAGGCGGTTCACTGCTCTGCTGCTGAACCGGTCCCCGGCTCCCGGCTGCCCTCCCTGGTTTCCCTCTCTGGTCGCTGGCATCACACCGGCCTGTTTTCATCGCGGTCTGCTCTCGCCTACCTCCGAGCCGCGCGTGTCTTCTTCTGTCCACCCGAACGGCTCTGACCCTTCTGCTTTCAACCCACTGATTGGGGCTTGGGCCTCAGACGTCCACTTGTATCCCGGCCTTCTGTGACCCGCAGGCCGTCCGGAGCCTCCATCGTAGGCTTTCTTGACATCTCGTACTTCTTCTCTGTAGGATTCACTCAGTGTTGGACTCCTGTGTCCGGATGTAAGCACTGTGAAGGGGAGGATTGTACCCCTTCCCTAGCATGTTGCCTTGCACATGGCAGGCGCACAAGAAGCGCGTTGCCAAGTGGATGACATAGAAGTGTCTTTCTGGGTGAAGTTCACGTCCCTTTGAGTGTTCATTTCTGCCTGTGACAATTATTAGCTCCAATCGATTGGTATTTTCAAGAGGCAGGGGATGAAGTATGGAAAAAAGAACCCTTGGTGCTGTGCTTTTTAGACCCTGTATAGTCTTCTAAAAGGAAGCTAAGGGACGCCTGGGTGGCTCAGTTGGTTAAGCAGCTGCCTTCGCAGCTCAGGTCATGATCCCAGCGTCCTGGGATCGAGTCCCACATCGGGCTCCTTGCTCATTGGGGAGCCTGCTTCTCCCTCTGCCTCTGCCTGCCATTCTGTCTGCCTGTGCTTGCTCTCTCTCCCTCTCTCTCTCTGACAAATAAATAAATAAAATCTTTAAAAAAAAATAAAAAATAAAAGGAAGCTAAATGGGGAGTTACATATAAGAAAATGAGAAAGTTTATTTGGAACTTGTAAAGCTATATTTCTTGTATTTTTGTCATGAGTAAGATTTATTTCAGCCTCCTGTTTTCCATTGCCTAGTTTATGTGAGAGACATTGGCATAAAATAAAATTAGATTTAGACAAATAAATTCTCTCAATGTCAGATAATTGGCAGTGGTCTTGTCTGTGTCAGTAGCTTGAGGTCTAAGGGGAACAATTCTCTTGCTTCCCATGGTGTCTCTTTACTAAAAAGGAACCTATGAACCTCCAGTGTTCTCCAGAATATGTTCTGTGAGATTCTGGTTCCTTGAGAAGATTGGCAAAGAGCTGTTTATTGGCCAAGTAAATTTGAAAAATGCTTCATATTTTACTCCCCATTTTCAGAGACTTCCACAAAACACATTTGTCCAGAGAAGGCTCTGAGAAGGTGCCGTAGTTCACGGTGTGAGTGTGCGTGTGTGTGCGCAATGTTTCATCCTACCATTTCCAATTTTTTCTTCACTACATGATTTTTTCCCTTCACATTTTATGTAGTACTTAATAATAACACAGAGAACACACCTTGGGAACTCTGTTATAAATTAATAAGCTTCCTTTTAAAAGGGCCCTCAGAGTTTGTTGAACATACTGTCAATTAATCTCAAGAGACTGACTTGTTTATCATAGGGAGAAAATGCTTCATTCTGCAAACCAGAATACTGCATTAGCATTTTATGGAAATGGGTTGAAGAAAGCGTTTTAAAAACTTTGATTAATTTGGGCAAGTCACCTTTCTCCTCTGTTCTGAGGTGGAGTTGAACGAGGTCTCTAATGTCTCCTCCAGTCCCAGTATGGGAAAACTCTGATGAGATTTATAATAAACATAAGTGTTAGTTCAAAATGCTAAAAATTTTTTAATTTTCAGCCTTTCAGCCTAGTGAAGAAGAGGTTTTTTTTTGTTTTGTTTTGGTTTTTTTTTTGTTTTTTTTTAAAGTTTAGGCTCTGTGTTGACCAGAAAAGAGATACTGCTTTATTTTTTTATAGGGCTTGAGAGTTTGCTTTACATACAGTGTGTGAGTTAAAATTAGATTTTCTACATGAAACAGAAGGGTGTAAACTAGCAGCAGATTAAACTGGATGGGAGCTCAGGTTTCCTGCGGATAAAAGCAGTTTTGAAGAGAGGTCGCCTCAGGCTGGTGGGGCAGCTCCCCAAATTGCCAGGCACCAGGGTCCTTCAGTCCCCTTTGCCTCCCTGGGGTGTGAGCCTCATTCTTGTGCCTCTGGAGAGCAGGATGGAAGGAAGGGGAAAGAAGAGGGTGCGCAGGCCTTCCAAGCAGATTTGTGGGCAGGACCACCCACTTCTACGCAGATCTCACTGGCCAGAGCAGAGTGACTTCCCGTGGAGCCTGGCAATGTGGGCTTTAATCTGGAGGCGGGTGAACCCGGCTAACGCTTGGCTCTTTATGAAAGAAGGTGGCCATTAAGTGGATGGCAGTTCAATTTCAAAAAAACTTTTTTCTCTTTGGTCCTTACATCTCAGTGGGCTGGGGTCCCCTGTGATTGGACACGCAGGTGTCAGGGGAGAGAGCGAAGCCCGCAGTCTTCCAGGCTTGCCGTGTAAGGGCAGCCTGCAGAGGTTTGCCGAGGCGTGAGTTTGGACTGAACACGTCCTCAGGATCTGAGGCAGGAACCCAGCCTGACCTACCAGGCCTGTTCTTTTTCTTTTTTTACTTTTTTTTTTGGTTCTCTCATGTATGTTGAGTGCCTTTGTTTTACACAAATGCCATTTGTTTTATTTTTTCCTTTCTGTTCATCCCCATCTTTGCTTCTTTTCCAGATGGACCTGGATGAAGACACTGCTGAAAAATTTTACCAAAACTTACTGGAACTGGAAAAGCAAGTTAGGGTCACCATTCAAAAAAACAAATAATCAGAGCTGACGATGGCACCCCCTGAAACACCACATACCTACCTTGAGCTCTGGGTTTCCGTAGAGTTGGGTGATGTGCCTGTGTGGCAATCGCTGAGCTGTAATTGTCTCTTTTCCCCGGTTTCAGGATTATCTCTAAGACTGTGTATGTGTGCACGTGTGTGTATACATGAGAAAAAGATTGATAAGTAAAATATGAGTTAGATGTTTTCCAGAACGGTGTCACATCAAAATTGTGCTCGAGTCACCCAACCAACCATGCGCGTATTGGTTCTACCGACTGGAGCCCAAGCTCTGCTTGGTGGGATGAGGTCTGGACTCGAGTGGTTGTGACAGAGGCACTCACCGGTCCTCCTTTTGGCCTTCCCGAGCAGGAGGAAGTACTCTTCACTCCCTGAGTGGTCATCAGAGCTTTGTTCCTTTTCTTATGGACAGTTTTCTTAGGTCTTATACCTAATTTCTTCTTCCATGTGCTGCTTCTAGAAATCCTGAGATTATGGGGCATCTGGGTGGTTCGGTCAGTTAGGCGTCCGACTCTTGATTTCAGCTCAGGCCATGATCTCAGGGGTGAGAGATTGAGCCCTGAGTTGGCCTCCATGCTCAGAGTGGGGTCTGCTTGGGATTTTCTCTCACCCTCTCTCCCTTCCGCACTCACATAAACATGCTCTGTCTCTCTCACTTAGATTAATAAAATCTTTTAAAATCTGAGATTGTTAGAATCCTAACAGTCCTAATACGGATACCCACGTAGTTAATTGCAGGAACAAAAGTGTATGTGTTGGGGCACTTGAATTATTTCTTCTCTTGGAAGTGTCTTTCACGGATGTTGAGGTAGTCTGCGTTAATATTGGGCCTGACCTTTAACACCGTTGGCAGATTTGTTCATTGCTAACCAACCTGTTTTTCATGATTATATTTTAATGTATGCAAACTTGCAGCAAAAAATTATTTACTCAGATTTTTCAAAGAAATTTTCTTTCTTTCTTTTTTTTTTTTAAAGATTTTATTAATTTATTTGACAGAGAGAAATCACAAGTAGGCAGAGAGGCAGGCAAGAGAGAGAGGAGGAAGCAGGCTCCCTGCTGAGCAGAAAGCCCGATGTGGGGCTTGAACCCAGGACCTGGGATCATGACCTGAGCCGAAGGCAGCGGCTTAACCCACTGAGCCACCCAGGTGCCCCTCAAAGAAATTTTCTAATTGAATAATTGCAGGTGGGATAGTTGCTGGTATCAGCAATGGTTGGAAGTGGTTTGCATATGAAGACAAAAATGCTAAAATATCTAGATGTTTTTACCCTACCTATAACCACTATTCTTGGAAGATAGTAAAGTGAGCAGAATTTTGAAGGACTAACAAAAGTGAAAATTTATATAAAAATATAGTTTCTACACATTCTAAGTATGAATTTTTGGTTACAGTTTCTCTTATTTTGTTGGTAAAGATATTTTTAATAAAGTTAAGCATCCTGTATGTGAAAACGAGGGCTGAATGCTTCTGCACGCTCCCCGCTGTCTTTGAGAAGGAAGAGTGGGGTTGGAGAGCCGAGAGCAGCACTGGGCTGTGCTCTTGGGATCGCTCACACTGCGATTGTGCGAGAAGCGCATAATTGTGAATCTCAGGTTCCTCCTCTGTGAAGTGAAGTGGTTCTCTTCGTGCTTCCTCCGCTTGGGGGTGTGGAGGAACGTTGAAGGCGATACTATGTGTAGTGAGTAACGAGCCTCTTTGAGAATGATGGCAGTACAGTTCTTCTCAGAGACGGAGAAGCCAGAATGTCGTGGTTCCGATGTTGGGGCGTAAGGCACTGGGCAACACTGTCCCATCTGACTGAGAGCGGGTTCGGTTTTCTGAGTATAGGACCTGCACTGAGGAGGCAGCATCTGGACAAGCAAGAAGGTACCAGGGACGAGTGTGGGCACTGGGATGGGGAGGAACCTGGATAAATCTGCGTCTAGTCATTAACTAACTTGATAACTTATGGCAAATTACTTCAATTTGTACCTTGATTTAGTTACAAAAATACTGCGACCAGTGCTCACCTTGAAGATTTGTAAGACTGTGTTCTAGTGGATGTGTAGTCAGTACACACTTAATTACTTCTGTTCTGTAGTAAGTGCCCAAAAGGAGACTTGAAGAGGGAACTAAATCCTGGTATCGTGCCATTTGTGATGTGTCAGGTTGGTGCTCTGTATATTTTCTGATCCATTTTATCAAATTTCCTTGAAATGGAGAACAAATCACAGCCCCCCCATCCCTTTTCCCCTCCCAAAGTACGTACACCAAATGGCATATGTCAATAGTTGGTTCTTGTCATTAAATCATCCCAAGTTCCAGTTTTTATACCTGGATTTGGCTACTAGGTTGAAGATTCACCTACTAGGAGTTGGGCTCCAGGACATGCCTGAGTTTTGTCTTATAAATGGCTAATCTCATTTCTTTGGGCTGCTGCACATATCCTTTTTTTTTTTTTTTTAAGATTTTATTTATTTATTGGACACAGAGAGAGAGCACAAGTAGGCAGAATAGCAGGCAGAGAGAGGGGGAAGCGGCTCCCTGCTGAGCAGAGAGCCCGATGTGGGACTTGATCCCAGGACTCCGGGATCATGACTTGAGCCGAAGGCAGACACTTAACTCACTGAGCCACCCAGTCCCCCAGGCTGCACGTGTTCTTATTTCCATGATGGATTTAGTGTAAGTCATTCATTCTGCAGATATGTTTCAGGCACTGGCTCTAAGCCCAGCACTCTCGGGTTTTGAGGATAGAGAGTGGACATGTGAAGATAGAAAGGGACATTTCAAAGTGTATTTATTAGGTGTTCCAGAAAGAAGGAATTGAGAAATGTGAAAAAGGCACGATTTGAAGAGATAAAGCTGAGCATTTGTCGGTGTCGAAGGCAGCCATGATCATCAGATTGAAGAAACATGACAAGTCTCAAATGCAAGCTCAGATACGGGAATACTGCAGAAAGCCGGAGAAGCTGACTTGCCAATCAGAGGAAAGAGATCACTAATGGGAGTTCTTGAGGCTAAGGGCAGGTTTCTTCCCATGTTACCTTTGAGAAGACAAGAAAAAAGTAAGTGTAGAGTGAAGTGAAACCCATCTGAGTTGTAACTTCAGAGTGAAGCTGAAATAAAATTTTGAGACAAAGTTACAAGTTTATCTCTAACCCTCAGTGACAGAAGTTACCTCTAACATTCCTTTTTTGAAAAAGATTCCTGGGGGGTGCCTGGGTTAAAGCCTCTGCCTTTGGCTCAGGTGTTGATCCCAGGGTCCTGGGATCGAGCCCCATGTCAGGCTCTCTGCTCAGCGGGGAGCCTGCTTCCTCCTCTCTCTCTCTCTGCCTGCCTCTCTGCCTACTTGTGCTCTCTCTGTCAAATGAATAAATAAAATCTTAAAAAAAAAAAAAGATAACTGGAAGAGGTATTTGAAGAAGAAAATTGAAACCTGCAAGGGAGGAGTGAGATACAAAAGGAATAATGACCAAAGATACTTGCGAATATGTAGATAAGCCTTAAACTCTGACTTTATAAAACAATAATAAAAATGGCTGGCTTCAGAAGGAAAAAAGGCAAAGTGTCACCAGGTAAGCTGGGGGAGTTGACTAAAGATATTCAAGACTTTGGGTGGCTCAGTTGGTTAAGCGGCTGCCTCTTGGTTTTGGCTCAGGTCATGATCTCGGGGTCCTGGGATCGAGCCCCGCATCGGGCTCCCTGCTCAGCGGAGAGCCTGCCTGAGATTCTCTCCCCATCCTCTCTCTCTGCCCCTCCCCCTACTCATGCACACTCTTTCTCTGTCTCTCAAAGAATCAACAAATAAATCTTTAAAAAGGATATTCGAGATAACACTCAGAAGAAAAAGATTTTGGTGAACTTTTTTTTTTTTTTAAAGATTTTATTTAATTGAGAGAGAGAGCGAGAATGAGCACAAACAAGGAGACGGAGAAACAGACTCCCCGCTGAGCAGGGAGCCTGACTCAGTTTTGATCCTAGGACTCTGATATCATGATGTGAGCCAAAGGCAGATGATTAACCGTCTGAGCCAGGCGCCCCTTTGGTAAACTTTAGGCGTTAATATGTCTAAGGTACCTATTAGACTTTTAACGGAAACCTTATGGTACACAAATAGGATATACAATTTCCAAATCAAAAGCGGTTTTAAAAAAAGGAACACCCAAGTCATCCAAAAAGAATGGAATAGGGGAGAAGGGGAGGATACTCAGAAAAAAGAATTATCACATTAGATCTTTAACATATAAACAGGTCAAAATGAATATAATTGGGATAAACAAGATATTAAAAGACTAATTACCAGAGTGGGTTAAAAAAAGTTTTTTTTTTACAATGACAACTTCTAAAACGTGAGAGTATATAAAGGTTGAAAGTAGGAAGTTGAGAGAATGTATGCCCAGCAAATCTAATGAAAGCCAGTGAGGCATTTGCATAGGGATGCGAATACCAGAAAAATAAGACTTTGAAGTGAAAGCATTTTTAAGGACTAAGTGAGTTCTTGCTAAATGATGAGATAAAGCACCATGAAGTTATTGTAATTATAAAACTGTGTGTGCCTTTAATGCTTCAGATGTAAAAGGCAGAAGTTTACAGAATTACAGGAGAAGTTGGCAATTTCACAATTTTAATAACTTTCATAGATCTCACTTAGTGGGTTTTTAATCATACAAAAATTTCAGTAGGCATATGGAAGGTAAGAACACAGTGAGCTTGTTCTGATGAATATGTACAAGGAACTCACCATTGCAGAGAACCTTATTCTTTTCAAATCCACATGGACAGTATAAGAACTAATCAAATATTAAGACCTCAAAGTAAGTCTCCGCAAATATTCAAAAATGTATATTATACGGACCGTGTTTTGTAATCACAGTGCATTGATAAGGTAACAAAAAAAGAATAAAGAAAACCGCTTTAAAACTCATGGGTCAAGGAAGAATTCATATTGGAATTTAGAAAATATTTGTGATTAAACAATGAAAATTCTACATGCTGATGAATAAAACTCATCTAAGAATTACTAAGAGAGAGACTTGTATGTAGATGAATAGGTTATAAAAAGACTGAAAATTAATGACTTCATTCTTAAGAAGTTAGAGGGGAAATACACAAATTGTAAGAAAGCAGAAGGATGGAAAAGATAAAAGCAGAAGATAATGAATTAACAATACAGTGAAGAAGAATAATTAAATGAGAGTTGATTCTTTGAAAAGAAAGATAGGGAAATTTCTGATAAGATGAATATATGAAAAGATAATAGGTACTAATAAAAATGTAGGACCAAAAGGGGGACATAACTACAGAAGTAGAGATTTTTAAAATGGGAGCAAACTAAGAAAAAGTTCGTACCTTTTTGGCAAAACATTTATGAGAAAAAAATGTACTTTACCAAAATGGGCACAAGCAGAAACGGAAAACCTGAGTGACTTACAACCATTGAAGAAATATGCATTAAGAACATCCTTTTCTTCTTTGCGGTTATAAGGGGACTGTCCAAAGATCCTTGTGATTAT